GATAGCAGAGAAGAAATAAGCTTTAAAATGTTTCAGACCCAGCTAGTCTAGGAAAATTCTAATCATCCCCCGAGTTAAACTAGAGGATGTGGGCCTAGTCAAAATTAAAGCTCCCTCTTGTCAGGAATATGCTTAATATTATAACATATTCAATTATAAACTCTCTTTAAATTAGTTTTTTTTTCCTTGTTGAAAATTATATGAAATAGAATTTATCAAAATTCCTACTTGAAGGGCCCGAAGCTGAAGGGGTACTAAAAAACAATAAATAAGTTGGTATCTTTTATTCAAACCCATTATCCACAATAACAAAAGAGTTCCAATGATTTATGTGAGAAGAAAGACTGAATTATTCCTTTTCTCTCTGTATAAAGTGACATTATAAAGTTGTTGCTGTTTGAGGAAGTGATCAAAGAGTATACAGGCAAAAAAAAATTTTTGAAAAATATTAAGGTATGTTAGAAAATTTCAAAAATAAAAATATTGTTATTTGTATGGGCTTTGTGTTATTTATACTTTTAGTCAGATTTTTAAGTTTTATGATGGCAATTTCTATTTTGCACCCTAAGTACATATTCATTTTGTATCTGATTTTATATTTTTATATTCCAATTCTCAAAGAAGGCTTCCAACTTTGAATAAGCTTCAAGCTCCACATCGACTGGCACCACTCGGAGAGTGAATCAACAAACAGCAGGACACATTGAGGAAGATTCACTTGACTGGGCTGTGAGGAGAAATCCTCTATTAACCTAGTACAGAGATACCTGGCTGTTGGCAGAAGCCCCGTGGAAGAGGGTGAAGATAACCAATCACTGGGGGTTTAAGTGGCAATGAGCAGTTGAAACCCTAAAAACATCTGATATGGACTCTCTTGGCCTGAAATTTCTAGAAAGTGGGTGAAATTCTCTGTGTGCAACAGCAGGAGTTTCCCGAAACTAAACCATGACTGGCTTTCCACCAAGAGAATTAGCCCTTTAAGAAAACTTAAGCAAGAGGAGTATTCGTCAGTGTATCAGTCATCATTGTGTCACTATGACAAAATACCTGAGGTAGTTAACTTTATTAAGAGAAGAAGGTTATTTAGCTCACAGTTTGGAAGTTTGAGTTGAAGATCAGGCAGCCCCATCAGTTTGGGACTCTGAAGAAAGCAGTACATCATGGCAGGAGCACATGTGGGAGATAGGGTTCACATCTTGAGTCAGGAAACAGAGAGAAAGAGAGAAGGGGAGAGCCTGGAATCCCATAATCCCCTTCCAGGGCACACTCCCAATGATCTAACGCCCCATTTCTTAAAGATCCACAGTGCCACCCTGGGGACCAAGCTTTTAGATATGGATACTTGGGGGACATTTATCCAAACTAGAGCAGTAAATTATTAAAACTTGTTTCCTAAAATTCTGCAGAAAGTGTAGTTCTAATCCAATGATGTATTGGGCACATGAATGTCCCAAAGGCACTTTAATTCTCAAAGCTCTGAAATTTGTTGCTCCTGAACTTATCACAGGTAAGCACACAGTGACCTCCCTAAGAGGGAATTGCAAACGATTACACCTTGGCTTCCCTGAGAATTAGTGCTTGGGAATGAATTCAAATTAATTACTTGACTACATGATGGCAGGATTAACCTTTAAAGTGGATGCAATAACCATGATTTACATAATCTATTCAATCATTTTTCAATGGAATTAATATTGAGGAGGCAAACGGGGAGAGATAAATTACACCTTATAACATTCTGTGAACGCTAGACCTGGCTCACAAAAGAACAAAATTAACGTGATCTAAGGTATAGAACATATCAGGTGCCTGGAGCAATAAATTAGGTTACAGAGATAATGAACAACTCTTCCGGAGTCTTCTTACAACATGAATTCATCCAGCAAGTAAATAAACAGTGTCACACACAAGAAGCAGGTTTCATCCATCACTCCCCTCTTGGGATCCAAAGAGAGAGATCCTGATCTGATAAAACCGTACGAGACATTTGACAGGTGTGTGTCATACAAATAGAGACCAGGTGCTTCAGGATCTGCCAGGGATCTATCTGGAGGGAACAGGCTTGAAAAATAAACTAAATAAAATTTAATTAGAATCTGGGTACATTTCTTATCTGATGTATATATTTTTTCCATTAGGTTCCTTTATGGGCAGGGTATGAGGGTTTTCTTCTGCTTTCTAAAGAGACAAAGTCCTAAGGACTCAGCAGCTGCAGTGGTTGGTTCTCCAGTCCCAGGGGAACTTTGTGCCTCAGAGCTGTTATTTGAGGAATCCAGAAGAGTTCTCATGGATTCCAGTGAGCTTTCTGAACCGAAAAACTTGGAAAACTTAGATGGTCCCAAGAGAATATGACTAGAAGGGCAGTGATAGAAAAACAGGAACTTGTCATTTAAAAAAGTAGTTTACATGAAAATATATTTTCAATTCAATAAAAGTATTCTGTGATGTTTTTGTGAAGTTTTTAAACATGGAGGAAAAAAAACCCAGAGAGTCCCAAAAGAACAGAGGAGTTCTACTTCTTAGTAGATAAAGTCCATATGCCAAGTGCAGGGGCTGGGGATCCCTGAGTTCCAGACCTGAGAGCCACGGACTAACTGGATGGCTTTGAGGGAGCTCCTATCACTCCCTGGGATTCCAGGATTCTCCTCTGAAAATAAGGAGCATGGGGTACCTGGCTCACAGCATATCAGCCAGGTGTGGGTTTAGGCTCTGTCTGACCTGTGTTTGAGTTTCAGCCCTCCTAGCTGTATGACTCTAAAGAAGTCATTTCACCTCTTTACTCTCAATCTATAAAACGGAGAGAGAGCACTCATAGGATTTTTAGTCTGATTAAACTTAGCTCCAAGAACTGAACAGACACTTTCCAGAAGAAGATATACAATCGATCAACAAATATGTGAAAAAATGTTCAACATCTCTAGCAATTAGAGAAATGCAAATCAAAACTACTTTAAGATTTCATCTCACTCCAGTCAGAATGGAAGTTATTAAGAATACAAGCAACAATAAGTGCTGTAGAGGATGTGGGGGAAAGGCACACTCTTACTTTGCTGGTGGGACTGCAAATTGGTGCAACCAATCTGGAAAGCAGCATAGAGATGATTCTTAGAAAACTTGGAATGGAACCACCATTGACCCAGCTATCCCACTCCTCGGTCTATACCCCAAGGACTTTAAAAAAGCGTACAACAGGGACACAGCCAAATCAATGTTTATAGCAACACAATTCACAGTAGCTAAGTTGTGGAACCAACCCAGATGTCCTTCAATAGACGAATGAATAAACTGAGGTATATATACATATTACTCAGCATTAAAAGAATAAAATCATGGCATTTGCAGGTAAATGGATGGAGTTAGAGAATGCTAAGTAAGCCAATCTCAAAACACCAAAGGCTTAATGTTTTCTCTGATAACTGGATGCTGATCCGTAATGGGAGTGGGGAGAAACATGGGAGCAATGGAGGAACTTTGGATAGGGCAAAGGGGAGGGAGGGAAAGGGAGTGGGTATGGGGTAGGAAAGATGGTGAAATGAGATGGACACCATTACCGTAGGTGCATGTATGAAGACGTGGTGTGACTCTACTTTGTGTACAACCAGAGAAATGGAAAATTGTGCTCCATTTGTGTACTATGAACTGAAATGCATTCTGCTGTCATGTATAACACATTAAAACAAATTAAGTTTTAAAAATTTTAAAAAAACAAAAAGAAACCCACTTAGTCCTGAGCCTGGCACATGTAAGCAATTAATAAACATTGGTTCTTATTAGACACAATATAACACCTAAAATCTCTCCTGCTACATCATTCTATAATTCTAGTTTTATAACATATTCATACAGTTGAAGAATATTAGAATTGATGAATATATGAGTTATGTCAATCGATAAGAACTGTATACACAGGGTAATACTAAGTAGAAGAATGAGGTTGGGCGTAGCTGTACCTAGTGTATATGTGCCGGGTAAAAACACGGGGTGTGTTGATAAGCCATAGATTGAACTAATCATCAGAACAGTTGAATTGTTGTACTACTCTTCTCACAAAAGTTGTTGGAGAGTTTAACACAGATCTAACAAGAAACTGAAACTCTATGAAAAGTGGCTTTTGCTTCTCCTCTTTTTCTATGAAATTGTCCCAGCTAAGTAGAGATGCCATTTAGGGTTACAGTTAGCCCTTGAGGGCCCTTGGAAAAAACCATCCTGCCAGAGTGATGGATCTACTTGTTTTGTGGCTCATCTGTAGCTCCTCACAAAAAGCTTTTCGAAAAAGAAAGATGGTCCAATCTCTTCAAGGGAAGCCTTGCCTACCATTTTTTTTTTCCTCTTCAGAAAATGTTCCTATTAGATTTTCTCCATCTCAGCCTCGAGCATTTTTAGAAAAGCCCATAAAGTCAGCCTACTCCATAAATTAAACGAAACTCTCTACATCAGACTTGGACTTTCACTTTTTATTTTTTTGAACTTGACTGTGGTGGGGGGATGTATAACACCGCTGCCATTTAAATAGCATTGGATGTTGAGAAATCGCCCGTGATGATCAGTGATGGGGAAGCTGGCTTCTAGAGGATACTTTAATACAGGTTCCCAGGTCTCTGGCTCCTGAGCCAATGATCCGTCTTTCCCACCAAAGGTCTTGGGGGTCACTCTAATAATCACAAGAGTAACAAGGGCTCAATTATTGAGTGCCTTCTTCATGCAAAGCCCTGGGCTAAGTGCTCTGCCGGCTTCTTATCATTTGACCCTCCCAGCAGTTCACCATTATACTGATGAAGACATGAAGGCTTAGAAAATCTAAGTAGCTGATTCAAGGTCACCATGTTGGTAAATATCAGTGATAGAACAAGAATTGCTTTCTGCTTAGGACCAATTGGCTTCTTTGTTGTTGTTGTAGCAGCAGGAATTGAACCCAGAGATACTGAATCACTGAGCCCCATTCCCCAGCCCTTTTTATTTTTTATTTTGATACAGGGTGTCTCACTAGGTTGCTTAGGGCCTCACTAAGTTGCTGAGGCTGGCTTTGAGCTTGTGATCCTCCCATTCAGCCTCCAGAGCCCCTGGGATTACAGGTGTGCGCCACCACACCTGGGCCCAATTGGCTTCTTTCTGTTGGTTAACTGATCTCTCTCTCATCATTAACAGTCTTCTCCAAATTGCTGTGGTGCCTCTTCTCCTTTAGGAATAAGACATTCTACTCCACGTGGCTTAGGTTTCCCCAGAGAGGGTGCCTCAATTAGCCGACAGTTGAAGAACCTGCTTCACTAAAAAGAGTGTAATGGAGAGACTGAAGAGACAGGTAAGGTTTTAAAAAAATCACAAGTCCATCCTTGGGTGACGGGTTTTTTAAAAAGTAGTCTAAAGGGCAAAAAGTTCTAAAACAGAATGTACATGTGCATGCGTGTGTGTGTGTGTGTGTGTGTGTGTGTGTGTGTGTTTGTGTGTGTGTGTGGTTTGCACCTGCATAAGGAGAGTTGAAGAGAAATGCTGTCCATTTGTTCCACACGATGCCAACAGGAAAGATGAGCCTTGGCAAGGCAAGAGGAAACTCTAGCTCTTTGTTCTTAAAAAGAAGAGCACTTGAAGAGACTCATCGGCCTGACATTAGCACTCCTCCAAAACATTTATACGTCCATTCTTGAAGACAAGAAAAAGACAAATCCATCAGGCACCTGGGATTTGAAAGTATCAGGTTACATGGTTCTAGGAGAAGTCATCGTCTGTGAATGCAGAATCACTCACTTCCCCTCTCGTTGGTTTCCTCCACTTCTACCTGCAAGGAAGAAAAGACAGCTTGGAATCAGCCAAGTCAAGGTAACTACATGTGGCTCTTTAGCACCAACGTGTGGGAAATGAAACAGACAAAGCCCCCTTCTCCATCAGCGCATTCCTTCTCTGCCAAAGCAGCTCCGTCTCACCGATGCGCTCCCCACACGAGGGCCAGAGCTGGGTATTTCTAGGTGCTTTTTGTGTGGCGGGTTTTTGCTGCTGCTGCTACTCTCTGTCATTATGAAACAGAACATAACTATCAAATTGAAGGAGCTATCCATTTGCTCCTCTGTGTCAGTAATAGATGTTTCTTTCATATCAAGAGGATAGAGGGGGGAGAAATGAGTGCACTCATATATATTTACTCTCAAATCAGCCTCAAGTAAGCCACCCAGCACGGGGGAGCCATCCCTGTGGAATTCTTCAGGAATATTCCAGACCTTGAGATTTGCTCTGTTGGTGCCAGGAAAGTGTTTCTGATCTTTGTAGAAAAGGGTTTGCTCACATAAGTCTGAGTTGCACAGTTGAGTTAAAAGTTTCACCTCTTGCCACCTCCACTGTCAGAGGCAGTAGAATTTGACCATGTAATCTTGCACTCTGAAGATGTGCAGGTCGGATTTCAAGCTCTCTGTTTTTGTTTTTTTCTTTCCTGGGCTTTAAGATGTATTTTGTCCTGGGAAAGAGAATAGCAGTGTCACTTTCAGAACTACCCACTTATGTGATGAATTATAGAACTTTGGGGGACTGTTGTCAAGGTTTGAGGCATTCTTACAACAACCATTTATGGTTTCATTATATAGTATTTGAGATGCGACATGGGAAATTCACCAAGTTTCTTGGAAATTTTGTTTCTTCTTTTGCAAAATGGAAACGCTACCTCTGTTTATCATGGAAGTACAATCCACTAGAACAGGAGTTGCTTATAAGCAAAGAGAGTGCTGTTTAAAGTTTTATCTCAAATCCCTCAGTGGCACTTGGCCCAGAAAAAAATGCTGAGAAATATCACTGAGTGAATGAATAAACGAGAGAAGGATTACATCAGTATAGTGACAGTATTAAAAAAAAATCACAGCATTTCTAATCTATCTGAAAGCATACTCTTTTCATACAGCAATTCATTTGGCATGGTTCATAAGAGATATCAAGTTTTAATTCAGAGTTTTTTGAATCACCTGTATTTTAAATCTTGTTTTGTCTTTGGCAAGCTAGTGCGGATTCAAACAAGACTTTTCTTCTGACGAGTGGGCGATTCATCAAATACCCTTCCTTACAGAGGAGGCTCTCATCCAATATCCTCCCTAGTCTCAGGGTAGCTAGATAGTGCCATTCACCTTTGTGACATATCAATAGGAGTCTTATAAAGTCACTTGCCCCTTGCTGTAATCCCTTCAGTCCTTTCCTGAGGTGCATTCCAAACTAAACAATTACCTTCCAAATATTAATGGGAAATGGTTCCTTCAGTAAAGATCAATGCAACGTGAGGTCTCAGATGTGGTTTCCCTATAAGGTAGACAACAGCTGGTCTTTGAAGCTACCTAGATCTTTTCACATGGACCCAGGTCTTCACATTTGTCATAATCCAACTTTGCTCTCTGTCAAAACTCTAGGAAGGGTTAACGACCGATCGGCTTTGACAATGGCTGGGGCCCCTTGCAAGACTCTTGCATAAATTGATGTATATTCTATCTACATGCTCAAGAGGCAGACTGGACCCATAAAAGTTGTCGAGTGATCCAAGGCAGCCCACCTTAGGTGGGGCCATCTGAACGAGCTGGAGTCATTAGGACTGAGAGAGGATCAGAGCATTTAAGAATGATATCATGGTGAAAAGTTAGAAGTGGGGAAGGATTCACCCAGCTGTGTAGACAGGGGTGGAAATTATGACACAGAATCCAGTGAGTGATCCAAGTGTGAAGAGCACAAGTGCAGGGGAGCTAGGACTTATGGGCCAGCAACCAAACAAGAACTGGAAAAAGGGGCTTCCAAGAGGACTCTGCATTCACCTTGGGCAAGGTCAGTGGCTGCAGGGACCTTTCTTTCAAGCCAACTTTACTCCCTCATATGGTTATTGTAAGGATCAAATTTATGGTGGATGTGACATTACTTGAAAATTCTAAATAGCCACACAAATGCAATGTGTTACTCCTGTTATTCAGGGAAAATATGGTCAGGAAAGCAGATTGGGCAAAGACCAGGAAGGACATGGAGAATCAGCTAAGGAGCTGAGCCGAACAAGAGTGAAGGGGAAGGGAGGCCCCCTGCAGGTCCCCTCGGTTGTGCTTCATCTGTTGTCCGCTTCGGGCACCTCACTCCATACCACCTTCCTCACTGTACCTGTCTCTTTACAAACATGCTGGGGAAGAGAAAAACATACTTACAAAAGCACTAATGAAGATAACTCACTCCACTACAACTCCGCCCTCCATCAAAGCCAAAATGAGCAAACCACTGGAAGTGGTCTATTTTAGAATTTAAGCAAGCTTTGAAATCTGAGTCAATGCTGCCTAGCAACAAGAGTCATTATGCAGTAATAGAGTCTTAGTTCTGATTGGAAATGTGCTGCAAACTCACAGCTTACCTCTTTCCTGGTCTGAACATTGGTTTCTACATCTATAAGATGGGGTCTTCCATGTTCTCCAAACACCTGGCAAAGGCTCTTTGGGATTGCTTTCGAACCTGAGGAGAGAGGAGTGGAGGAGTTCCAGTGGGTTGCCAAGTAGGAAAGGCAGATAAAACCTGTGAAGGAGGCACCGACAACCACATGTCTCATCTAGAGCCCGGATGACTCTCGGTCTGCTAACCCAACAGACAGATGACATGTTGGTGAGTGACACAGAGCTTGTAATATCACAGAGCCCACAATCAAGACAAAGTCAAATAAATAGACCACTTCTATGAAACATGACAAGTGTTGGGGTGGGTAGTGCTGGAGCCACGGGAGACTGACAGGAGTCATCTAGCTGTTTTTTGATCAGGTTATTAATCTATCTAATCTCAATTTCCTCTCCTGTAAAATGGAATTAAGAACAGTTGTTACCCATTGAGTTATGAGAATCAAATGACACAAGGCGTGCAAGGCACACAACAGAATGCCTGGCACAGTAGACGTTGCAAAGGGTTAACTCGTAGCCAAGGGGAGCCCTGCCCTGTCCCACCCACTAACTGTGCTCTTATATTTCCTTTTCTTTGTGGCATGATATTTTCTGAGGCTTAATTATCTTGGGATCTTGGGTGGAATCTGAGAATGGTCTGACGGCACCATGTAGGACTGAATGGAATCAAAAGAAATAACCGGATCACGGTTGGCTGCCCTTGGGTTAGGAGTCCATTCTCAGTCCAATTAGCCATGGAGCCTTGGGGGGGCCAAATGAAGCCAGGTTGGTTAGGCTGCAGGGCTCCTGGAAGGCATTCCTACGGGACTCTTTAGCAAGGGAAGCAAATGGATGAAGCCAATCTTGTGTGATACAGATTAATCTACAGGTTTGTATTGACATTTTCAACATCTGTCATTTCCAAGGGTATTGAATCAGCTCATCGACAAGTTCCTAGGTTTACTATTCACTATAAAAATCCATGCTTTATTTCTTTTTTTCCCCCAAAATCACCTTTCTAAACCTTCAAGGGTTTGATATTCGGGAATCTCAAAGACATGCATTTCATAACTACTGTCCTTTGTCTCAAAGATCTCTTATTCCATCCCTTGTTTGCCTCTGCCACTTTGGACTAAGATCCCAACTTTTCCTCCATTCCCTTCGTCATTCTAATGGCTTATCCCAAATTCTTCGCCTGTCCATCAGGTTCTTCTCCCAGACCAGGCTTGAGAAGTGCACATGCTCAACATTCATCAGGTGAAAGCAAGCACTTGCTATTTATTGTCCCAGTTTTTTCTGAAAACTCTAGCCTCATGCTGACCGTTTTGGCCACATCATCCCATGTCACCCAATGAGCCAAATGATAACAGTGTCTTTCTTCTCCTCCACAGGTGCCCTCCCCAAGGCTCTCTGAAAATGACTCTTAACCAGACAGCAGCAATCTGTCATCGCCGTGCTGCCATTCTCAGCCAAAAGTAAGAATTGGTAAGAAGCAAAACCATTCTGCAGCCAGAATTCTAATCCCAGGCTAAGCAGGTGCCCGTTGCCAAGGCGTGCAGGGCACAGATTCTGACAAATGATGACACTGCCCCAGTTGTGGGAACAGAGCTCTTCACAGCCTGCTAGCTTCAACCTCGAGCAGTGGTAAGAAGCTTTCCATCAATGCCAGTCCCTCTGATGAGAGCCCTAAAGCACAGCCCCGGTGGGCCATTTCCTGCCAAACAGTAAAAGTGCAGATCTACGTGAAATGAACTGAATTGTGTTCGTCAAAATATCATCAGCCACTACGTGATTCACTCCATGTCCTCTGCTCCAATATGAGACTTTGAGGTTTTAACCAAAAATTCTAAACTAGGATTGATCTTTCTTTTTTCCCAGAGAAACACTAGTGTGTACATGCACACACTCACCCCTACCCTCATTCACATGCACCGCTTCCTGTTCCTCTTTCTCTCTCCTCTTCCTCTGATGCTTCTTTCCACCTATTTGCCTCTCTATTTATGCATTCAACTCTTGCATGCACTCTTTCTCTGTCTACTCTCCATCCTCCTCTCTTCCCTACTTGTTTTCCTCGCTCCCTCCCTCTCTGTCTCTTGCCCCTTCTTTCTTCCCTCTGTCTTTCTCTGTGCATTCTTCTCTCTCAGCATTTCTGCTAACTCCCCTGGTGCCTAGAATTTCACAGGGAGTTCAGCCCACTCTCCCGTTATTTTAAGTGCTGGTTTGGCAAGGGTCGCATCCCTGTGTCCCGATGTCTCAGCTTAAAGATTCTCACCAATGCATACTAGATAACTAACAAAACAAATACAGTGGGGGGGAAAAGTCATGAAAACCAAAGTGCCTGAAACCTGACTCTTCTGGGTTCATCAGAATTGTTGATGCCATGAATTCTTTTAGACTGACATTTCGCAGCCACAGTGCGACCCGATCTTGATTATGATAATGCAGAGCACCATCATGCTTCTAAAACGCAAAAGATAAAAGGACCAGGGTTTTGCTGGGGCTTGGGGGTATTTTATTGCACTTTTACATTCAGAAATTCTGTAATTTGGGTGATTTTTATTACCCAGGACCTGTACCCACGTATCCAGAGTATGATTAATGAGAGAATTAGATGAACCTAAACACACTTTTCCCTAATTGTGCTACGTGGTAGAAAAGCACCAAGGAAAAGTCTGCACAAACTCTCTGTGGAGCATATTGGAAGATAATACAGAAGTATGTGTAAATGTCTCAGCATGTCACATTGGATCCTGACCCAGCAGTGTGTGTAAATGTCAACAGTCATTGAATAACTGTTGTATCTATCCTTGGGGCTCTGATGGTAAAAGCTGTTTCTGACAAATCCTGATGGTGGTCAGCCCACCTGACCCATGCCTTTTGGTTCCTTTTCTCTGACAGGATCATGTACTCCTGTCTGCTCTGTGCCCTGGCCTCAATCTTACCAGTCATCAGTCTCAGCCTGTGAGCTGTGTATGTTTCCTGTCTCAGTTTCTCTAATTGTAGATGCTGCCTCAGTGACTCTGTCCCGCTGCACTTGGAATGAGAACATATTTTGCACTTGTCCCAGTTATGGTGAGTTATGGAATCATAAATCTGAAAGGACCTCAAAGTTGTCTGCTCCAGTCTTGCATTTGACTAATGAGTAGGGTGACCGGTTTGTCCGGGCAGCCTCAATTTATGCCTCTTGTCTTGATTTAGTTATTAATAGCTCCCTCTCTTTCCTCTCGCATGTGGCCTGATATGGACTGTAAATTATCCGATCTCCCTACTAATGAGAGAAACAATGTAGCTGAACCCAAGACCTGCACCCATGTATCCAGAGTTTTATTCTTTAATAATTGTTACATTGTACTGCCTCTTTTGCTTTAAAGATATGTCTTTGGAGCAATGCCTCCTAACAAAAATCTCCAGAGAGTTGTTTCAAAAAACAAATGCCTTGACTCTAATAATCAGGGTAAAATGCCAACATGTGGGTCTTATGGCAAAGTTCCCAAAGCCACCCTGATGCACACTCTGATTGAGAGCTCCTGCTTAGAGAAAAGAGGTAATTGGGAGAAATTGCTAAATCCCACAAACCATGCATGTAGCAAGATGTGCTGCTTCAGGGCTAGCAGATTTGGCCAATCGCTGCTCCAACATCTCATCACGGATGACTCCATTTTGTTTTTTGACATGCCATGTGACTTTGAAATAGGCTAAACAGGGAGCTAAAACCCTTAGAAGCGACTTCTTCTGTGGGTCCAACTCTTGAAGACTCTTAGGAAGACTTTCTTGACCCTCTAGAGGTTTCCTTCTGACTTTCAGCTTTCTGTTTCCCACACTCACGCCATCAGAGGTCAGGGAACTGAATGAGGACGAGTTTCCCTCATTCGATAACAGATGAAGTTTCCAGCCTAACGGTGGCCTTGAGATAAGCCAGAAAGCAATGCTGACCAACCAGCAATGTGACGCTGAGGACCAGAGAGGTTTAGTCAAAGGTAAGAGTGCTTCTGACATTTTGCAAGGAAAAAAAAAAAAAAAGAAACCAGAGGATATGACTCCATGCCAAGAAGGAGAAAGTGAACCACAGCTGGAGACCTAAGTGAAGGAACAGCAGCGATTAATCAGTTCTTGAAAGCCATCTGCTTTCCCTGACAGTGGAATCCAAGCTAGCGGCTCTGCCTACAGATGCTGCACCACAGGCTGGGTGCTGGGTGAAAAGCTTTCCTTTACAGTAAGGGTGTAAAGATCCATCTTCTGGATGACCAGACAGTGGAAAGGCAAGCTCAACTTTGGGCAACATCAGTAGACTTTTTTTTTTTTTTTTGCCCCTTCTCTTGAGGGGGCTATCAGTTGAATTTTGTTTTGATTATTTTTTTCAGTTTGTTTCAACAAGTTGAAATCCTCTACCTGGGCCAAGATTCATGCATGGAGAAATGGCCAAACATAATTATTTTCCTTTCCCTTCCCAAATCTCAATTAAAAAAAAAATAGTGAAGAAATTTTGAAAAAGGTATTAACCCATAGGAAAAGAGAAGTGGAAAAGGAAGAGCAAAAGCTAAAATATGTATATAAATTAGGGAAGGAACAGAAAGCAAATACAGAGTTTATTTAACTAAGAAGGTGGTGGATGGTGAAGGATTTCAGACAGGTGGGTTGTGACAAATGATAAGTTCTTTGAAAGTCTCCATGTTGAGCTTTTGAACCAACAGAGCCAACCCCACTCTTCAGAGCCTGGTAACCAATAAAGAGCAATAAAGAGGGGTTTCTTTTGTTTGTTGTTGTCATTTGGAGAAATTCGACTGAGATTGGAGGCACAAGGCTCAGCTGAAGGCAGAAGAGATTTGGTGCTACAAGCAGGGTGCCGAACTGTGAGGCTGAACTATGAGGCCGAACTGTGAGGCCCTCAGCCTTCTGCCTCAGCCCTGCTCCCAGAATGCCGCAGTCAGGGGTGTGCCGCAGGGAGGAGAGTAGAGCATCCTTCTTTGGAGAACCTAAATGACACTAGGTGAGTGAACTCTGCCCAGTGAAAGCTGAGAGTCTACCCGTAGGAAAAGTAAAACCTACATGTTCCCTGACACCCTATGAAGCAATCTGCAACTTGACAAACGCCATCCACATTCACCAAGGTCCCAATCGTTCTTTGAGTTCCTTTCATTTTAGGTATGAGTAGCCAGTCAAGGATTTGGTGAGGATGAATCAAAGGTGTTTTTCAACAGAGAACTCAAAAACTTAACCTCCCATGTACTGTCACTAAGACTCCCAGAGCCTTGCTTTGTCTAAAATGAATGAGAGAGAGAGAGAGAGAGAGAGATATGGTGGATCCAGAAAGAGATGGAATCCAGAACATAAGAGATAAAATAGAAATAATGTTTCTAATAATGGTGAATGGAAGGGCTGGGGGTATAGTGGTAGAGCACTTGTCTAGCATGTGTGAGGCACTGGGTTTGATCCTGAGCACCACATAAAAATAAAATAAAGTTATTGTGTCCGTTTACAAGTAGAAACAATTTTTTCTTAATGGCAAAGGGAAGTCCTAGGGTGGCGTCTGAGCCTGAAGCTTAGGAAGGAACCAGCCTAGATAAAGCAGAAAGATAAAGAGATATGGAAAGGTGAAGTCTACAGGAAAAGACAACATCAATGAACAGAATCTGATATTTTTCAGTGTTCAGAAAAATAATCCCTAGGTGTTTGAAAGATATTGAAGTAATAGGGGAAAATAGTTTAATATGTAAAAAAATTTAACCAACCAAATTAGTTAATTATTTATTATAGGAAATCATTCCTAAGAAAAATACTGATAGCAAACTTCTGAGCTGGTCACCAATGATACTTATTTTCTGGCTTTCATGCCCTTAAAAAAAAAAATTCTCTCCCATATATTGTAGGGCTGATGATGTAACAGTTGGGATTTTGGGGAAATGAGGTGCGTAATTTTAAGGCTATAAAAGACATCGGGGCTTTCAGCTTGTTCCTTTAGATTAATTGCTCTGGAGGGAGCCAGCTTCCATGATCTGGTGCCACTCAGACAGCCCTAGGATCAAGAGTCGGCCAACAGCCAGCATAACTTGCCAATCATGTGAGTTACCTACTCTCGAAATCCATCTTCTAACCCTAAGGAAGCATTAAGATGACTCCATTCCCCATTCAACACCTTGACTGCAAATTCATGAGCAACCCAAACCAGAACCACCTGCCTAAACCACTCCCGTATTCCTGACTTATAAAAATCACACAAACCAAGAAATACTTATTTTATTTTAAACCACCAAACTTTGGAGCAAATTTAGGATATGAAGGTGTGAATCTGGACTGAGTAGTAGAAGGGGACAGAACTTCAAGGAATATATCACTGAAAACCTGAAGAATAGAAAAAAAAAATGATGACCTCTGAGAAGACAACTAGGGAAACCTAAAAAAAAAAAAAATATGGGGATAATGTGGTTAGAAAATGGAAAAAAGGAGACTCTTGAATAGTGGTGGAAAGCTTAGCAACACTATTGCCTAAATGGAAAATAGAAAATGTGCCTATGAAAGTGGGTAATCTAACATGGGGGGTTTTCTGGCAGAATGTTAAAGGTGCCACATTTTTCTTTTTGCTGTTTAAATATTATAGGGGGCTCAAACGTTGAAAAAATTCCAGCATCTTTAGATGGCAAATGGGTATAAAATTAAGAAACGGCTTCTAGGCAAAGGTCAAATACAGGGTAATGGAAGGGAAAAAAAGATACAAAGATGAAGATGAGGGTGTGGTTGAAAGAAAAGTTTTAAAATTTTAGAAATATCTAAGTAGGGCATCAGAGAACTGTTTAGTCATTCAGCTTTTTCTAAGGAAGTTAAGGATATTATCCATCTGCCTTCTCAGCAAAAGACCAAGGTAAAAAAGGACATAGCTGAGAGAGATTTGTGATTTTTTTTGTCGAATTGCACAAACCCCCAAAACGGTTCACAAGAGACCTACAATTTTTTTTTGAGAATTATTTTGGCAAAAATACCTCCAGTTTGGAACAAAAGGCATCAAAACAACCAGTTACAAAGAGGGTTTTGGATCTCCAAACTTCTACAGGCAGAAAGCCGGCTGAGAAAAATGTCTCAACTGCGAACACAGGTGACATTTCATGGAAATGAAAGATTCAGGAAATAATAACAAGTACCCAGAGGGCAGAGCCAAGAGCTGTGTGTGGAGAATTCTTCTCAGGTCTTGGGTCTTCACCAAGGAAAGTCAATTGTGTCCCGCCAGATTTAAGAATTGCTATGAATCTCTGATTCCTTTGCGTCTCCTCTTTTCCCTCTTTTTGATAGGAGTTTCTAGCAATTATCATACACCTGTCCCATTAAAGAATGTTGGGTGTGCATGTTGCCAATAAGTTGTCTCTTAGGTTCCCAGAATGCTGCAGTCAGAAGTGTACCACAGGGAGGAGAGCGGAGCATCCTTCTTTGAAGAAGATCTTCACCTTGAGAGAGAGACTGTGTTGCTATTCTCAAAGAATCATCCCTGAGGAGCTGCATCTTTCCCTGGACCAGATTCAGCCAATGAAATTGGAAGTTTCTACTGATGCTCTAGTGGGATGGGAGTGGGAAAGGACCTCCAAATTTTGCATTAGGAAAGACACGTATCATGAGGTTGTGCTATGGTGTAGATATGCTGTGACTCCCAGGAATTCACGTTGAAAGCTTGGACCCTGTTGTGGGGATATTTAGAGGTGGTGGGACATTTGAAAGGTGGGCCTCAGTAGGAAATCATGGGAGCTGTTGCCCTCAGAAGGGATTAAGGTAATTCTTATGGGACCCCTGAATTAGATCTCTCAAGAGCAAGTTGTTATACAATAGTAAGCCTGACCCCTGAACTGTTCTCTTTATTTCTTGTCTCCCTATATATATTCTCCTTATCCTGCAAAACTCCCAATGTTCTGATGCCATCTCCAATGAGGTCTTCACCAGAAACCAGCACCATGCTCTTGGACCTCCAGAACTGTAAATTATATAAACCTCTTTTCTTTATAAATTACTCAGTCTCTGGTATTTCATTATGGTAGTGGAAAATAAATACAGGTTGATATTCTGACTGAAGCTTCATGAAAGACCCCCCCTCCCCAAGCAAGAACCATCTAGCTAAGCTATTCTCAAATTTGAGACCCGCAGACTGTGTGAGATAATAAGTGTGAATTATTATTTTAAGTTGCTAGGTTTGGGTGAAATTTGGTTTGCAGCAATAGATAACTCAATATAAAAATAAATCACAGTATTTGGTTTTGTAATAAACTTTATTTATATAATCATAATAATGTTTAAAATTGTGATAAAATCATCTTGGAAAAGGTGAAATGCAAGTAGTTAGAGATATAAGAGCTAAATACTTTATCTACCTTAATAGAATCAATAGTCACCACTTAAAATTGATGCAATAAGAAATGTTAAAAAAAAACATATATTGCAGAGGAAAAATGGAGATAAATACTAGAAGAATTACCTGAAATTGTTGAGAGTTTATTTCTAGGGACGAAACACTGAAAACAAAGTGGAAAGATGTGGAAGAGGGCTGGGGTTGTAGCTCAGTGGTAGAGCGCTCGCCTAGTATGCATGAGGCACTGGATTCAATCCTCAGCACCACACAAATGTAAAATAAGATGTTGTGTCCACCCAAAACTTAATAATAAATATTTTTAATAAGATGTGGGAGAAAGAACTGATGCCCATCCCCTATGGTGAATGTTTTCATTGTTCGTGGTTTATTTAAAAAATGATAGGCACATAATAATTCAATAAAAATAAACTCTTACTGAAAGAAAAAAAAAACTCATCCTATAGATATCTGAGACACCTTGACTAGTATGGGGGGTGAGGACTGCAGTAAAGCTCCAGACACAGAATAAAAAGAAGAATATCTATTCACTTGGGAGCTGAAATGCAACTAACTTCCTAAGCCAGGAGTGTGAGCCTGGGGATCCTCCAGGCTGGAGAACAGCTCTCAGGCTGCTGGGTGCAGACCACACACATAGAATGGGGGCTTTCTTTGACCATGACCTCTTGCAGTACCACCATCCT